TTGGTTTGGCTTTAGAAAAATGTTTCTGCATTTCTTACCCAACAATGCTTGCATTTCCAATTGAGAGAGACGTCTTGTTGATGGTGGACCAGCATCTGGTATTGGCGAATCCCTTCTCGTTCCCTACCCATCTCACGTCTGGGCCGGCGTCTGAGAATATGTTGATTGAGCTCTGCAACTCTTTAACCATGGCAAACCAATCCGAAAGTAGTATGTCATGTTTGGTGCATCTGTGCCCTTTGCTCCATCAAACCATATCTCCCTCACATTCCCATAACTGCCCAAAAATATTACATATCAAAACCTTAATAATTTCGGATTCTTATATGGATTGGAAAATCTACTATAACTAAGCACTAACTCGTAAAAAATGCAACAATTAAAAGATGAAAACAGAGATCGATCCTTGTCAATTCGAATTTGTAATCTTACTTGTGGAGTAGTTCTTGCAATTGAGCCAAGTAGTACTCATTATACTTCAAATTATTTCCGTATCTGGGGTCATGGCGGTCCCATGGAGATAAATACAACCCCGCATCGATGCCATTGTGAGCCTTCACCGCATTAACAAACCCCGCACGACGTCTCCGCGGCCGTTCTTCCACGGACTGGCCGCCACAGAATGTTTTGTGTATTTAGAAGGCCACAGGCAGAATCCATCATGATGTTTTGCGGTGAGGATCATCAGAGAAATTCTGGCCTCCGCGGCTGTGCTAACCCATTGGTTAGCATTGAGCCCAACCGGGTTGAATATAGCCGGATTCTCTTTCCCACTGCCCCGTTCGGAATCAGTGAATGTGTTGACGCCGAAGTGGAGGAACATGATGAGTTCTCTTTGTTGCCATTTCAGCTGTGCGTAAGTGGGGAGGCGAAGAACCGGCAACGGTGGTGTAGGTACTTGTTCTCGCCGGCAAATTGAAAATTTGGATTGGTGAAGCAATGTGATTAGGAAAAAACAAGTAGAAAACCATGAGTTAGCCATTTGTGATTATTGTTGAGGATTTGTTGTTTTTATGAAGAGGAAAAGAGGAGAAGGGTTGTTAGATAGGATACGGGATCAAACAAAAAGGAGGTGGAGGATTTTGTGCGAATGGAATAAAGCCAAAAGAGAAATAAAGTTGTTAAATGGGTATGTTTTTTATTCGAAAATGACGTGAAATATTGTATGCATCAATTTAATTAGTTAAAGATATATTTTAATAGTTCATAAAAAAAGATATATTTTGATTATAATCCTACTGACTATATCATTCCTGTTCTTGATTTGAACTTCTGTTCTTTCTTTTTCTTCTCTTTTTTTTTTTTTTTTTAATTTTTTAGGGGAGTTGGAGGAAGGGGAGGAGAAATGGGAAACAAAGGGGTTTGAACCCTGCTGGTGTAGGTGGAATATCCACACAATAATCACATGAGTTACGTAGCAGGTTTGATTTGAACTTTTTGATTCTTGCATTTCCATGATTCTAATTAATGTTGGAATTTTAGGCACCATAATCTTATTCAAACAGAAATAACAAAGAAATTGAGATCATAATTAACGTAATTCAACGTGTATACTTCTTAATAAATTTATATCTATAAAAAAGTGAGAAATGAATTTACTATTTAAAAAAAGAACACAATAATTTAGTGACTTTTTTTACTCAAAAAGCTTTTAACACATTGGTTTAAATATATATAGAAACTCTCAAAATCTCTTTAATACTCTTTTTTAATCTTCACAAAAATTATCTCACAATTTTTTTTTTCTTTTCATAAGAGGACTGACTCACTTAGCTCTTCTCAATTTCTTCTTGCTTTCTCACACTCTTGTTTACTTCTGCCTTGCACCAAGCTCAATTTATAGAGCTTATCAACCCACTTTAGCGCATGTGATATGTGAACAAGTTGAACAGGACTCCTTTTGGGTGGTGCCGTGTCTAGCAATAGGCTGGAGGAATTCTTCTTGCAATCAAGCCTTTTGTCAACATGGCAATAAATGCTATGGGTAAATTTCAACAATCACAGCATAGTAATAAATGCCATGGAAAGTGAAAGAAAGAAAACTCTCCCATTTTCAACATTTTACACCACCTTTAAATGGGGTTGGAACATTTTGTCAACAATTAATACACAATTATAATTGTTTTATTATTGGCATTACTCACGGGTGAACTGCAAATGCGGCAGTCATCGTGCATCATTTCCCAATAATAATGTTTGCTCTGTTTTTCTTTCTTTCATTCTATCTTTCTTTCTGTCTTTTTTTTTTTTTTCTAGGAAAAATCTTTTTCTAATCTTCTAAAGAAGATTGGAAAGGATTTCTTTTGTCAAACAAAGTGAAGGTGGACATACATGGACGGATATTTTACATAACGATGATTCCTTTTTAACGAATTAATGATAATTTAACAACCAATAATAATCAAGGAATTTTTGTCATTAAAATGAAATCTAATCTAATCATCTAAAGATATAACATTGTGACATTTTAAATTTTAAAATTTTTTTTGTGATATGATTATAATTTATTTTTAATTTTTTTATACTTTTTATAACCATTAAATAAATGAATATATGTAATAGTATGAATTTTGTTAGGGTTAAAAAAGTTAATTATTAAATGATATATAAAATTATATGAAAAAAATTATATGCAAAAATTGTTACTAATTATTTTTTTTTTTTAGTAGTGAAGACTGCCAAAATAACAATAGAGAGAACATTCAATTTTCCTTTTTTTTTTTTATTTTTTTTATTTTTTTATTTTTAGTTCTTGAATTTCAATGTTAATTGAAACTATGGTATGTTAAGAAAAACATCAAACTAGTTTGGAATAACCTAAAGATATTATTCTTTAAATTGACTTGTTGGTTCTAAATAAGTCTTTAAGAACTTTTTGTCCTAAATTAATTAATTTACTCAAAGTCAATTTAGTATCAACTAAGCCCTTTGTTACTGCACTTTGTTATGGCAAAAGTTAAGAGAAAGAGTCACGTGTTCCCTCTCTGACATTCTCTGTTAAAATGTTGTTGAGTTAGCTCACGGACTCGTCTAAGGGGAATGTTCACATGCATGTGTTAGTTCTAATACCTTGTAAGTTCTCTTTCTTTTTCCTTGATCGGTTGTTAACATTATTCTTCTTTACTTTACTTCCTATTTATTTAGAGTCAGTGGTAGAATATCAAAATTCATCAGTCAAAATCAGATACACAAACTAGATTATAAGAAACATCACTTTTACCTAAACAGAATGAGGAAAAAAAAAAAAGATAAAGGAAAAAAGAAGGGGCATGTGGGTGGCTGCCACCCTAATAAGAAACAATGGTAA